AAAAAAAAAGTGAAAGGATATATACTAAAATTTTCTTTTTCTTTTTTTTTAAAGATTTTATTTACTTATTTTAGAGAGAGAGAGAGAGCATTGAGTGGGGGGAAGGGCAGAGGGAGAGGGAGAAAGAGAATCTCAAGCAAGCTCCCCACTGAGCGCAGAGCTCCACGCGTGGCTCTGTCTCATGACTCTGAGACCTGAGTAAAATCAAGAGTCGGAAGCTTACTGACTGAGCCACCCAGGCCCCTAAAATTTTCTTTCTTCCTTTTTTTTTGTTTTAAAGATTTATTTATTTGACAGAGAGACACAGTGAGAGAGGGAACACAAGCAGGGGGAGTGGGAGAGGGAGAAGCAGGCTTCCTGCTGAGCAGGGAGCCTGATGCGGGGCTCCATCCCAGGACCCTGGGATCATGACCTGAGCCGAAGGCAGACGCTTAACTGACTGAGCCACCCAGGCGCCCCTTTCTTTTCTTTTCTTTTTTTTTTTTTTTTAAGATTTTATTTATTTATTTGTCAGAGAGAAAGAGAGAGAGAGAGAGCACAAGCAGGGGAAGCGGCAGGCACAGGGAGAAACAGGCTGCCCGCTGAGTAAGGAGTCCAATGTGGGACTTGATTCCAGGACGCCAGGATCATGACCTGAGCTGAAGACAGATGCTTAACCGACTGAGCCACCCAGGCGTCCCTAAAATTTTATTTTTTAAAATATTTATTTATTTATTTTAGAGAGAGAGTGTGTTGGGGGGAAAGGGTAGGGGGAGAAGGAGAGAGAGTCTTAGGCAGATTCCACACTTAGAGTGGAGCCCGATTTGAGGTGTGGGGCCTGACGAAGGGCTCGATCTCACCACCCTGAGATCACTACCTGAGCTGAAACCAAGAGTCAGACCCTTAACTGACTCTGCCACCCAGGTGCCCCTATATACTAAAATTATAAGGTAGTTATATACTACAAGCGACTGTGTGTTTCTCCATCTTTCAGCTTTTCTACATTAAATATTGGAAGTCCACCCCCTCTTTTTTTTATTATGAATTTTTTAATTAGAAAAGAGACATGCTAAAACAGATCACTTTGTAGTATAGCGAATCCAAAATGGGTCACACTTTACTTGTCTAGTTACAATCTCTTGCCAGTTCACTATTTGGACATCTCTGCGGGGGTCCTTACCCGAGAGAGTCTTCCCCTTCAGTTCTTGGCTTCACCATGCTCCCATATACTGAGAATAAAACTGGTTCTGGCAAGGTCTGGAGTGTGTGGATAAGGTGTGGAGTGAGGGAGTGGGGAGGGCCTGCTACCTCAGGACCAGGGGTGGGACTGAAAATTTCAAGGCACCAGAGCTCTTCTCTAGCTGGCATACCCATCTTCCCCATCACCCGTGTCCATTTTTTTTAATTCACAAGTATACACTTATAAAGTTCCCCTTCATAAACTTTGAGGGTGGAGAACTTGGACCAAAGCCTGGATGTAAAGGAAAGCTTACTATTACCACCACCAGCCACTCTGATGGCAGAACTAAAGAGAAGCAATCCAGTGTTTCCCTTTTGTCACCAGGGCAGCGACAGACTCTCACCACGGTAAAAGGCTATATAGGTTTTGACTGGTTCTTCATGTAGACCCAGTTGACGGCAACCAATCAGGAAAGATGCTGTAGGAAATGTTTATTCTTTCCACCACTCTCAACTTGCCATCAGCATGTCCTCAGTTACTGTGCTCTAAATTGGAAGAAGTATGAAATACTGAATACAAATAAAAGGGAGTACCATCTCACCTCCGTAACTTGGTTCGAGTGTTTCCACTGAGTACTAGGATAAAAGGTGAAGTTTTACTGCATGTATCTCTATTCTACTTCTACTTTCCACGCTTAGCTCAAATACCTCCTCCTCCTCCAAGGCATCTTCATCAGGATTCCTCCCTTGTTCCTGGGTCTCCTGTGGCACTTAGGTGAAGCCTCATTGCAGAATCACCACATCCTGCCCAGTGGTTACAGGGACCACGGCACATGGAGGTACAGGCGGCCGTAGCCTTGGGATCGAGAGCATGGGATCTGGAATCAGAGAGACCTAGAATCCCCATCTCTTCCTAGCGTTGGGATAATGGCAAGATACTTTGCATCCGTGAACTTTGATTTCCTCATCTACTGACTATAGCTAATAACGCTGACTTTAGACAGTTCATCAGAAAAGAAGGGGCCAAGAAATGGGAATAGTCAGAATTATTTGAAGGCAGACGTGTTTTATTCACCTTCCTTTCTAATTGTGCCCAATTCCGTGCTGTACACAGAGGAAGGGCTTGCTAAATATTTAATATTGTTGCATCAAATTTGAAAAATTTGGGTGAGGGGTGGTAGTTTTGCCAAATACCTTCTGAAATGCCGCAAGGAATTGAATAGAAGACTAAGACTTAGGGCTTGTGTATCTTTATCTTTCAAAAAAAAAATTGTGGCAAAATATACGTAACATAAAATTTACCGTTCAAACGATGTTTAAGTATATGATTCAGTGGCATTAAGTACACTTACCTGGTTGTGCAACCGTCTCCACTAGGACTTGTCTGTCCTCGTTTCTTTCTTCCTTCTCCGAACCATTTATTTATTATTGGTACTAATAAAGAACATTTCCAAATGGCATACACTCCAAAAATAAATGGAACTCCCTATCTCCGTGCTCATGCCTGTCTGTAGGGGATTTATAGAAGTCATACCCACACAATCATTTCCTCATCACTCAAAGCCACAATCGGGTTTTTCACACTTGTTTCCAGGACCAACGAGGTGTATCTTTTTTTTTTTTTTTTATTCATTTGAGACACAGAGATACAGAGAGAGAGAGAGAGCATGAGCAGTGGGAGAGGCAGAGGGAGAGGGAGAAGCAGACTCCCGGCCGAGCCAGGAGCCCGATGTGGGGCTTGATCCCAGGACCCCGGGATCACGACCTGAGCCAAAGGCAGACGCTTAACCATCTGAGCCACCCAGGCGCCCCGAGGTGTATCTTTTGAACGGTTTACTAAATCGATTAAACTGCTCTGCCCATAGTATGCTTTAAGTTGTAAGTTTTTTGAAAATTAAAGTACAATTGACATACAATAGCCTGTTAGTTTCAGGTGTACATAATAGTGATTTGATACTTTTGTACATTATGAAATGATCCCCATGTTAAGTCTAGTTACCATGTCACCATACAGAGTGATTACAAAATTATTGACTGTATTTCCTATGCTACACATTACATTCCCATCACTCATTTATTTTATAACTGGAAGTTTGTATCTCTTGGTCCCCTTCACCTATTTTAGGTGTCCCCACCTCCACCCTAGTAACCAACAGTTTCCTCTATTTATGAGTCTGTTACTGTTTTGTTTCGTTTGTTTGTTTTATTTTTTAGATTCTACATATAACTAAAATCACATGGTATTTGTCTTTCTCTGACTTATTTCACTTAGCATACTAACCTCTAGGTCCATCCATGTTTTCACAAATGGCAAGATTTCATTCGTTTTTTTAAAGATTATTTATTTATTTATTTGACAGAGAGAGAGAGCACACAAGCAGGGGGAGCTACAGGCAGTGGGAGAGGGAGAAGCAGGCTCCCAGCTGAGCAGGGAGCCCAATGCGGGGCTCGATCCCAGGACCCTGAGATCATACCCTGAGCCGAAGGCAGGTGCTTAACCGACTGAGCCACCCAGGAGCCCTGATTTCATTCATTTTTATGGCTGAGTAATAGGGCTTGTCTTTCTTAAACATAGAAGTTCTCTGGATGATGCCAAGGATATGAAAATGGCACTTTAATATATTTGTTAATAAAGCATCATAAATCTTACTTTTTTTCAGAGATAAAATATCTTTCTAAGATTCTGCACTTCTCAGAGCCCTGCACATTTGAATTAGCTGAATGAATTACAGTGTAGTGACTCAGATTTGCTGGTTTAAATTTTGGCTTTCCCGCTAGTTCACAGTGTAATCTTGGACAAATTACTTAAACTTTCTATGTCTTAGTTTTCACATCTTAATAGAGGGTCATACTAATAGTATTTATCTTAGAGATTTGGGATGATTAATTGAAAAAATAGTGCCTCACACATGGTAGTTGGCATATAAGTATTAGGTATTGTTTTTATTCTTAGAAATAATGTCCTCAAAGTCTCTTTCCTGCTGCACTTGAATGTGATGTGAGGCCAAAGAGTTCATCAGTTTTGTCTGCTGATGTGTTCCCTGCAAATACCTCCAAATGGGCTTTTAGTCCAGCTCTCCCTCCCTTTTTTCTGCCTTAAAATTTTATTTTTTTGAGAGTTAAGATGGTTGACCACTATTTCTTGTGCTTTTTGGGTTTTATTTTAAAGGTTAAGCGAGTTTGGGGAAGGAGATGGTTAGGAAAATAAACTCTCTGTTTTCTTCCTTCCTTCTCCCCTTCCTCTTCTCCTCCCTCCCTCTTTCTTTTCTTCCTTCTTTTTTTTTTTTTTAAGATTTTATTTACTTATTCATGAGAGACAGAGAGAGAGAGGCAGAGGGAGAAGCAAACTCCCTGCTGAGGAGGGAGCCCGACGCAGGACTCGATCCCAGGACCCCGGGATCATGACCTGAGCCGAGGGCAGACGCTCAACCAACTGAGCCACCCAGGTGCCTCCTTCCTTCCTTCCTTCCTTCCTTCCTTCCTTCCTTCCTTCCTTCCTTCCTTCCTTCCTTCCTTCCTTCCTCCCTCCCTCCCTCCCTCCCTTTCCTTTCTTTCTCTCTCTCTCTTTCTTTATTTTTCCCTCCCTCTCTCTCTCTCTTCTTTGATTCATCAACCTCAGTGATCCAAGGGAATTGCTAGAACACTTAGTGACTTCGAAAAGTACATTTGTAGGAGCCCTTGGTTTAACCTGGGAAAATCCCGAGCTGTCCAGTTGTGGAAAGTTGTGATTCTTGCCTGTAGGAGGCGCTCTTTGTCAGTGTTATCCTAAACCTGGAAGAGGGAGGGGGAAAAGGCAGGCGAGGCAGCCCTGACGTAGGCAGGAAATAAATTGTAAGGCTACCCAAAGAGAAGATCCAGTTTTCACTTGCAGAGGCAGCAAGTCTTGGGTTCACTTCCCGCGCAAATGGGAGTTTCTCTGGAACTTGGATTACGCCGAGGATTCTAATTTCTTTAAAACTTTATTTTCAGGCAATTTCCCCTGGAACCGTTTACCTCCAGAGGATCAACGGAATTGGATCTGAAGGTATGTAATTAGCACCTTTCTCCTGCTGAGCTCTTGCACTCTAGCCTTGTTCCTTGCTTTAGTCACAGACTAAACTGTGTTGCAAAAACTCTCGTGGGCAATGGCATTATTTCTGCCTGGATTTACTAGCCGTGTCAGGGAAAACGAAGGTTTAAAAAGCCTTAGGAAAGCTCCAACACAGACTTTTACAGGCGGAAATGTGCTAGTCCATGAATGCAAACAAAGTCCGGCGGACTCATTGAAGTCTGGCCAACTGAAGTGGAGACAAAGTCTGGCCCACTACAGATTGGAATTTTTGGGAAACTGCAGGGCAAACGTACGATACCTTAGAATTGGAATCCGTCTCCAAGAGGCCATTCATTTGGTTTCCGGTATCACAGACTACTCCGAGAAGGAAGACCTCATGGACGATCACATTAAAAATACCATTTTTTGTTCTTTCTCTGTCTCCCCCTCCCTCTTTCTCTCTCTCTAAGTAAGCTACACACTCAATGTGGGACTTAAACTCACAACCCTGAGATCAAGAGTCACATGCTCTACTTACTGAGCCAGCCAGACACCCCTCTATTTTCTTTTTCTAACAATAAAAGTAATATGTGTTCATTGCATAAAATCCGAGAAACTCAACAGGAGCCAAAAAGAGAATTTACAGTATCTGTATTTATACCACCTAGATATAACCACTCTTTGTTACTGATGTTTTTTGTTAATATTCTCCTTCCTTTGGAAAGTGGTTTCTTGTTTCTAAATAGCCAAGTCTTGCAAAGAGAATATATACCTTGAGGCCTTATAGAATGAATAATATTACTGAAAAATTTTATTCGTTCATTGCTCCTCTGATTAGAATGGAATTTAGTATAGAAAATACCATATGAACTTTATGAACTGATCGGGTGGAAATACTAATTTAGGCAATTTGTGACTTCCTTCAATGATTTGAGCAACTCTTGTCCAAAACCACCCTTTCTTTTGGGGTCAAGGATTATGGCTTCTCTTTTTGTGCGATATGGACCTGTCCCGTTATGGTTGTTCTTGGATTAGTGGACACTTCTGAAATATAAATCCCCAGACTGCTTTATTTCTAAAATGAAAGGTGTAAAATAAAATAAAATAAAATAAAATAAAATAAAATGAAAGGTGTAAATCTAAGCACTATTTTTGCCATTTGGTGGAAATGAATTAAGAGTTCTAACAGGGAGAGATTGTGCTTTGTCATCTTCCCTTTTCACTAGCTTTCACCAGGGACGTTTTGATTTGGGAGAAATGAAGGTAAATTGGGTTCCAAAAAAAGCTCCCTCCAGACCTCCAGAAGGGTCACCACGCAAGTGTTGGACTCATTTTTTTGACTATTGGTTTTTGAAGCAAGCTCACAGGAATTTTTATTTTTCAGCACTTTTGGGAAAGTCTCATGCCTGGAACGGAGGAGGCCTGGGAAGTTGGGGTTCTGTGTATACCTCCTCTCTCATGTGCTCCCCCACCTCTGTCTCTTTCAGGCTGGCCATGACATCTCAACGTCAGAATTCGGGTTTCCGTTCAGATGATAATGGTCAATCAAGCTTCCGTGGGAAGCTTCTGACTATTGATTCAAAGCTGGGGAACCAAGATGTGGAGGGCTTAAAGTTTCTCTGCCGAGACTGCGTCTCCCACAAGAAGCTGGAGAAGTCCAGCTCAGCCTCAGACATATTTGATCATCTGTTGGAAGAGGAGTTGCTGAGTGAGGAAGACCCCTTCTTTCTAGCGGAACTCCTCTACATAATCAAGCAGAAATCGCTGCTGCGGTACCTCAACCAAAGCAAAGAGCAAGTGGAGAGTTTGCTGCCTACCCGAGGGAGGGTCTCTCTGTTCAGGTGAGGAGGGGTCTGTGATCAAGACGGTGCGGGGCGTGGGTGTTCCATCTAGTTTGTGTTCATTCGGGCCACTGGGCTTTGAAAGGAGGCTGGGGGGGTGCCTGGGTGGCTCAGTCGTTGGGCGTCTGCCTTCGCCTCAGGTCATGATCCCAGAGTCCTGGGATCGAGCCCCAAATCGGGCTCCCTGCTCAGCAGGAAGCCTGCTTCTTCCTCTCCACTCCCCCTGCTTGTGTTTCCTCTCTCGCTGTCTCTCTCTGTCAAATAAATAAAATCTTAAAAAAAAAAAAACCTGTTTAAAAAAAAAAAGAAAGGCTGGGATTAAGATCTTTTTCTTATCTATGTTCTTGGATGACACAGTGCTTTTAAACCAGGAGATCTCTCCAAGGCAGGTTACCCATGAGATGAGAGGTTGGGAGGTCAGCAAGGGTTTTCAAAGCCCCACTCTGGGCCTGGCAGTGGCTGCCCTTGGTTGGCTTCTCACCAACAAAGGAAGCCTGCCTCAACAAAGCAGGCCTTCCCTTTCCTTTTACTCTCCCATTCACAGACAACCCTTCCTGTGAGTCACTGTGGGGACTCAAAGGGAGGGAATGCATGTGTTCTTGCGGCCAAATAAGCAAAATGAAAAAGGAGATGTGTCTCTGGGGTAGGGAAGGACATCATTTATGCCATGTCCAGTTTCAAATTTTCATACATTTTTGGGTGAAGCCCAGAGAGGTAAAATACAGACATTTTACCCATGGGGTGACATACAGGCATTTGGTCTATCATGGGTCAGACCTTAGATAACACGATTTTATTTATTTAAGATTTTTTATTTGTAATTGAGATATAATTGACCTACAACATTATAATAGTTTTAGGTGTACAACATCATGATTTGATATATGTATATATTGTGAAATGATCGCCATAGTAAATTTGACATTTATCACCACATATAGTTATAAATTTTATTTTTGTGATGAGAACTTTTAAAACCCACTCATTAGCAACTTTCAAATATATAACACAGTTTAGTTGATCTTTGAGCCTGCCTCTACCGCTTATTGTGTTATCTTTTTAAATTTTATTTTATTTTTAATCTTATTTTTTGAGAGAGAGAGCGAGCACGTGTGCGCGCGGGGGCGCGGGGTTGGGGGGGAAGGGAGACAGAGAATCTTAAGCAGACTCCATGCTCAGTGTGGAGCCTGATGCAGGGCTTGATCTCACAACCCTGAAGTCATGACCTGAGCCAAAATCAAGTCAGAGACTTACCCGACTACACCATCCCGGCGCCCCCTTACTGTGTTATCTTAATGTAATAGGCCACTTAAAGCTCGGAGTTTTAGTTTTGAATCTGTACAGTGGGATTCAAAATTGTCTACTCATAGGTTGTGATCATTCACGTGAAAGAGAATGTTTATTAAAAAAGCACTTGATTTACTATGCTGTCCTCTGCAAGTGTGAGGTTTTATTTGTCTCTCTGGATGTGTGTCTTAGAAACCTGCTCTATGAACTGTCAGAAAGCATCGGCTCAGAGAACTTAAAGGACATGATCTTCCTTCTGAGGGAATCGATTCCCAAAATCCAGATGGTAAGTGTGTCATATAGAGTAGGGTATTTGTGAGCACTGCCGTAATCAGTGTTGGAATATGCCGGACAGGGTTTTCAGGAAGGGTTTTTATTTGCTGGAGATGATGTCATACAGCGCTTAGGAACATTGACTTCGGTGCTGGACGGGCCTGGGTTCTAGTCCTGGTTCTAGCGCCTTGATGTGGGGCGAGTGATTGCAGCTTTCTGAGTCTCTGTTTTCTCATGTGTCATATTGCGGACAATCACACTCCTTCCTTCCAGGACTGTTGGGAGAATTCGACAACATAATGTGGGTAAAATTTGGCACCTAGTAATCAGGTGGTAAGTGGTTAAACTGCTCTTGGCACCCACTGTGTTTTCCCGTAGAGAAATGTGTGGAAATGAGGAGGCAGGAAATCATGGCAGAGTGAGAATGAGTCGTTCCTCATCTACAGTAGGTGTGCTCTCTGAGGGACCCTGCGTGTCCTTTTGAGGAACTTTGCATTATCTCCTGTGTAGGGTTTTTGTGAAAATCAAATGAGACATATGTTTGAGGATGTGCTTTGTAGAGGGCTGTACAGGTGTTTTGAACTAATGGTAGTATTTTTAATAATAACATAATTGCTGTCTATTAATATTATTGCTATATGGGTCATATTTAAGGGTAGCAAAGTAGCAGCAGGTCTCTCTTCCAGGCCTCAAAACTTTGTATGTTTTCCTTTTGATTCTAATATCAACTTGTAACAAGCAAGTTAGTTAACTTAGGAAGGGGCCACTTTTCAAATTTTACCCTTTAACATTACTTTATAATTGTGCTATTCAACGGCTATTTTGTTTTTTAAAGATTTTATTTATTTATTTGACAGAGACAGAGATAGCAAGAACATGGACACAAGCAGGGGGAGTAGGAGAGGGAGCAGCAGGGAGCCCGATGCGGGGCTCAATCCCAGGACCCTGGGATCATGACCTGAGCCGAAGGCAGACACTTAACAACTGAGCCACCCAGGCACCCCATCAGCCGCTATTTTTATTAGATTTTAAGTTATGCAATGTCTGATAACATACAAAAAACAAGTAACGTGGGGCGCCTGGGTGGCTCAGATGGTTGGGCGTCTGCCTTCGGCTCGGGTCGTGATCTCAGGGTCCTGGGATCGAGTCCCGCATCGGGCTCCCTGCTCTTTGGGAGCCTGCTTCTCCCTCTGCCTTTCTCTCTCGCTCTGTCTCTCATGAATAAAAAACAAACAAACAAACAAAAAAAACAAGTAACGTGTATAGAAGTTATGAAATGTAGTACTAAGTGAACAGCCATGAACCACCCCCCATGCAACTTAGGAATGCGAATATCACCCACCCTGTCGAGCCTGCATTGCACACGTAGCCCCCCCATATCACATTCTCCTGAGATCAGCTGATATTATGACAAATAAAATTGGTTTTCAGAAAAATCACTGAGGAGTGGGAAGCTGTTTTACATGGGGTGGGTCAAATGAGGCCTGTGTAACTAATTCATTAAATATATTTCCTGGTGTCCGACCTGTAGACCTGAGTAGGTTCATTTTGTTTACATTGCTCACAGTCTTTGAGATCTTTTTTCCTCTTTTAGAGCCCTCAGGGATTTTAGTCTCTATATCTTTTGATGAGTCATTTCTTGAGGCTCCTTTTTTCTTGAGGTTGGTTGTGGGTTCTGTGGGGTTGGGGACTGAGGCTTACTCATCATTATAGGTCCAGAACCTTGTAGAGTCTGTTACAAAATGGTGCTCTGAATGAAAGCATGAATGAATGGGATGGATACAATCTTCCTTTTCTCTTTCTGAGAAAATGGCCTGAGCCCTTTCTGTTTATATGCTTTTACCATGAATAACTAGAGAGATTAGCAGGATGAACTAAGCCACCTTGATGGGATGGGCAAAGATACATGGCTAACATTCTTATACTTACTGCCACTTGTCAGAATCTAGTAATTTTCTCCCTTAGATAGCCCCTGAAAGTTCTGATACATTTTTGTTTTTGTTTTTTACACTTCTTTTCTTTTCTTTTTATCTTTTTATTCTTTAAAAAAAAAACCCAACAAGACACAAGTGTAGAAAAATGACATAAAACAAACATACAGATTAATGAATTATTATAAGGCTCATCCTTTTGCAACCATCACCCAGGTCAAGAATTTGAATTTTACCAGTCACTCGAGAAACCCCTCCATTTACCCCATTCCAATCACAACCCTTCCCACCCCCTAGAAGAACCACTGTCCTGGCTTTTATAGCAACAATGTTCTGATGTTTCTTTATGGTTTTGTCATTTACCTGTGCATCCCTAGATGTCAAGTTTAGTCTTGGCCAGTTTTTTTCTTTTGAGTGTTTTTTAATCTACAGGTTAAACTCCTCTCCCTCCAACCCCTCCCTTTCTTTTTTTTTTTTTTTAAAGATTTTATTTATTTATTTGAGAGAGAGAATGAGATAGAGAGAGCACATGAGAGAGGGGAGGGTCAGAGGGAGAAGCAGACTCCCTGCTGAGCAGGGAGCCCCATGCGGGACTCGATCCCGGGATTCCAGGATCATGACCTGAGCCGAAGGCAGTCGCTTAACCAACTGAGCCACCCAGGTGCCCACTTTTTTTTTTTTTTTAACATTTATCTGTTGAAGAGGCCCGGGACAATTGGTGGGTAGAATTTCCCCCAGTCTGAGTTTTGTTGATTGTGTGTGCTTGGTACCGTTCAGCACGCTCCTGTCTTCCGCATTTCCTGCAAACTGGCAGCTGGATTCAGAGGCCAAATGTCTCAGCATTAGAAGAGATTTCCTATAGTTAGAAAAGCTCTCCAGGTTATTCTGATAATATTCTCTTCCAGCTTAGAGCAGCCTTTCACAATTTCTCTAGTCTCTGGGTTTATAAATACAATGAAACCACTCTCTGTGGTTATACCTCTCCCTGTGTCATGAAAGGAAGTTCATACTAACCACGACAGGGTGGGGGATGAGGAAATGGGCAGGAGTCCCTGGTATGCTTCACACCAAGCCATGATTTTCTAGTAGGAAAAACTGGGGAGTGTATTTCTTCCTGAACTTCCTACGTGGGTCTTAGACCTTAGCTTGCAGGCATCTGTGGTTTGTGGCCAGAAGCATTCCAAACATTTTGTCCCCTGCTAAATTAGCTTTTAAGTCATTGAAGGCCCATTCTCAAGTGGCCAAAGGATTTTATGCTTTTCTCATTCAGTACGATAGTAAAAGGAGCAATCACGGTATTTCCCTGTGGCATAGAACTGTGGGAATAGCCGGTCAGATTCAGGAAAAGTACACTGCTTGGGTTCCAAATGATCTCAGCTTTATTCCAAAGGAGATCTATTTCTTCATGTGAGAATTGTGGCTGAGTTATATGCCCTACATAATCCAGATTGATCTCTATTGGATGTTCTTGAAGTGGGTAAAGGACAATCTCTAGCAACCCAGATGAAGTTTTAGTACCAGGGCTTCATAAGGCTGCATTATCTGCTGTTGCGATTGCAAAATATTTTGTCACAGAAATAAATTGTTTAGCAGCCAGGTGGGGAGGGCCTAAACTTCCCTCAGTCAAAAAGGAAAGGTTCTAAATTCACAGGGTCTCTCTCGAGTTAGAAAAATGACCATTGTAGGGTGTTCTAGGATTCCTTTTTGATAACTTTCGTACAAGTTCATAGGAGTATAGCTGCCTTCACACCTTCCGAGAGACCCAAAAACAGTCCGGAAATCCGTTCTCGGGTAGTAATCAAATGAACGTTGGATGTAAAGGAAACCACACCCAAATCTACTAGCGTAGCAAAGAAGCAGAAAAAAGCTTTCAGACACTTCCTGCTAGTATTTACTGGGGTGGTGTTCTTAAAGTACGGATTCTATTTCGACTGTGTGTGTGTGTGTGTGTGTGCGTGTGTAGAAGGTGTCATTTACCAAACATCGCATAAACTGTTTTCAAAGTATGAAGAATTTCCATCATTGCTTCTAGAATCATGTCTTAGTCCCTTTTCTTCCTCCTGGTAGGATGCTGTCAAAAATAGGGGTCTGTTTTAAGGTTCAGTGAGAGCTCATTTTCATGTGACCCACTGCAGAACTTTGGTGGATTCCCTCTGACCCCTTTGCCCAGCTGATCAACTCTGGACAAATCTTTCTGCACCCCCTTCTCTCTTCTGCTTTATTCCCTGGCCAAGCTGTTGGTGTGCTAGGGCTGCAGGTGGGGACATATACTCTTCTTTGCCTTTTTGGCTCTCTTCCTTGTCCCTGGAATTTCTTAAAAAATTATAATCTCTCAGGGGCGCCTGGCTAGCTCATTTGGTAGAGCATGTGACTCTTGATCTTGGGTTTGTGAGTTCAAGCCCCACATTGGGTGTAGAGATTACTTAAAAATAAAAATCTTTGGGGCGCCTGGGTGGCTCAGTCGTTAAGCGTCTGCCTTCAGCTCAGGTCATGATTCCGGGGTCCTGGGATCGAGCCCCGCATCAGGCTCCCTGCTCCGCAGGAGGCCTGCTTCTCCCTCTCCCACTCCCCCTGCTTGTGTTCCCTCTCTCGCTATGTTTCTCTCTGTCAAATAAATAAAATCTTAAAAAAATAAAAAAATAAAAATAAAAATCTTTGAAAAAAATTTGTAATCTTTCTTTGATCGGTTGAGAACAGAAATCAAGTAAGATTTTGTAACTCTGGCCTTTCCCTTGTTTGTTGCCATCTTGAGTGCCTTATTTGGAAACACCGCACGCACGCTCGCACGCGCTCAGTAACCCTTCCTCATCCTGTGTTATTGCTCAGTCTCCCTCCTTCCCTCTACTGCCAAACTTCTTGAAAGGATAGTTTGTATAAACTCTTTCTCCACTAACTCAACTCTGGGTCACATTTCAGTGCATTTCAATATGACTTCAGCTTCCTTCATTCCAATGAAACTTCTTGCTGAAGCCAACATGAACCTCCTCATAACCAGGTTTTTAGTTTCACATCATTTCCACATGTGGTTTACTTTGCCCTTTCCTTTCCATTGCCAACATGACAAAGGAATGTCCTTTTCCATGTTGGCAATGAAGACCTAGTCATCCTTCCAGAATCCCCTCCCAGAGCAGCTTGTGTGAAGTCTGCTTTGTGCCATAGATGAATGATGAATAAATGAGTGGTATCACCACTGGAAGTTATCTTGGATTCTTCCTTCATTTCTTCACCCACTTCCAACTGATCTCCACAACTCACCAAATTCTATTTCAGAAATACTCCTCAAACCCAGTGCCTCCTCTGTGTTTCCACCACTGGCTTTAGACCAGGTCTTGATCGTCTCTTTGCCAGGGTATTTAATATTACTGCCAATATTTTCTAATTCCTTTCCTCCCCCAACCTGTTTCAAGACTTCCACTCAAAAACCAGTGTGCTCACGTTACTATTCTCCTTAAAAACTACTACTGACACTCCTTGATGCGTGGGACACATGCAAAACTCCGCACATACTGTGTGTCTGTGTGTTCCTTCACGGTCCCATAGCAGCCCCCTGTTTTGACCATGACCTAGCTCTTATCAGGGTTTGCACTCAAGCCTCCTTCTCAATGTTCCTGAACAGACTGTCCCTTTTCAGCCATTCAACCATTCAGTATGTCTGGAGACCTCTTCCCAGTTCCCACCCTGCTGATGCTCATGTACCTAGTGAGATAGTGTGCAGAGGTTCACTTTTGACGAATTACTCTTTTCTGTGGGCTCTAGTGTAAGGTCATTCGTATATATTTTTTCATAACCAGCTTAATACACTGAGAAGCCCTGTTCACTGAAAAGATTATGGTGCCTTCCACCCCACATGTAATTCAATATTAAAATAATACTAGCCAATTTGCGATTTTTCCCAGCAGCATTTAAGAAATTTTTTCTCTTTTAAAATACTAAATATTTGCCCCCTGTGTCTTTGGTGCCTCTGTTTTGTTGCCGCCCTAATCTAAGTATATCATTTACAGCTGTGAGTGAGAGGCAGCGTCGCTCAATGGCTAATTAGAGGAACTTTGACATCAGACTGCCAGGGTTCAGATACCAGCTCTGCCACTTATTGGCTCTGTGACTTTGGACAAGTTGTTGAATCCCAGTTATCTCATCTTTAAAATGGGGGTTATACCCAGAAGCAAATAATACATTATATGTTAATTAATTGAATTTGAATAAAAGATAAATAAAATGGGGGTTATATAGTATCTAGCCTTATTGGCTTGTTTTTGAGGTTAATATACAGCAAACACTGCCCGGTACGTAGTAAGTTATGTATATTTGGTATTTGTTATTAATATAGATAACTTACTTGGAAATGCCTCTTCCCCCATACTGTTGAACTCCTCAGGGACAAACACTGTTCCTTATTCATCATTGCAAAACCTGGTGACTAGTCGCCGTGCAGGTAATGTTTCAAGAATGAATGGATCATCAGAAGGCAAGTAAATGTGACTCCATTGATTCTCTTGCAGACCTCTCTAAGTTTCCTGGCATATCTGGAGAAACAAGGTCTAATAGATGAAGATAATCTGAGGTTACTGGAGGATCTCTGCAGAAGAGTTGTACCTAACCTTATGAGAAAGATAGAAAAATATAAAAGAGAGAAAGGTAACTAGCTTACACTTGCTTGCTTGCACAAGACCATGGGAATTCTTTTTTTTTTTTTTTTAAGATTTTATTTATTTATTTGAGAGAGCGAAAGAGAGAGAGAGCACAGAGGGAGAGGGAGAAGCCAACTCACCGCTGAGCGATCCCAGGACCCTGAGATCATGACCTGAGCTGAAGGCAGATGCTTAACCGACTGAGCCACCCAGGTGCCCAAGACCATGGGAATTCTTAAACTAATTGGTCCTATATGACGTTTACTCATCACTCTGATAATATTCTCTTAGGAAAGCCAGAACTTTCTCCCCATCTGTTCATTCAAGACATATTTATTGAATACATACTCTGAACTAGGCTCAGTTTTTGAAGGTGGAGACACAGAAATGTATATAAAGCAAAGCTCCTGCTATCTTGGAGCTTATATTCTAGTGAAGAAAAGTAGTTTCATTTTATTTTATTTTTTTAAAGATTTTATTTATCCGACAGAGAGAGACACAACGAGAGAGGGAACACAAGCAGGGGGCATGGGAGAGGGAGAAGCAGGCTTTCCGACAAGCAGGGAGCCCGATGTGGGACTCGATCCCAGGACCCCAGGATCATGACCTGAACCAAAAGCAGATGCTTAACGACTGAGCCACCCAGGCACCCAAGAAAAGTAGTTTTAGAAAAATGTCTTTTCCTCCTTACATGGGGGTGAGAGTATAGAAAAAACATTTTGAATGAAATAACAAAAAAGAAGGAGGCAGGATAGCTTAGGGATTAAGAATGAGGTCTATGGAGTCAGATTGCCAGGACTCCACTTATTAATGGGGTAGTGGTTCTTTTCTTAACCTTTCACTTTCCCCATCTGTAAAGTGGGGATAATAACAGTACCTACCTCATGGGTGTTTTGAGGATCGAATGAAGTAATTCCTATAAAATGCATGTCTGGCATAGAATAAAACATGTTGCTATGAATATGTTTGTCAGAAAGTCATGAAAACTTTAATTTTCTCAGAAATTACTACCAGAGAAGAAGAATTTTATTTCCTTGTTTTTTTTTTTGATCCTGTCTTGTGAAGGTAATATCATTAAAGGTAATAGCAGAAGGTGGAAATCAAACCTGGTTGCCTTACCATATATCAATATGCTAAGTATTTGTGTTTTTCCAGGTCCTGTTTCTCCTCTGTTAAACAAGAGCTACAAATAAAAATGCATGAGTATAGGGGTGTGGGGTGGCTCAGTCGGTTAAGCACCTGCCTTTGGCTCAGGTTCTCCCTCTCCCTCTGTTGCTCCCTCTGCTTTTTCTCTCTCTCTGTCAAATAAATAAAAATTTCTTTAAAAAATGTATGAGTATATTCATGAAGCTTTTATACCACACCCATATTTTAATTCAGTGAGTCAATTTGGTGTACAAATATCTTTGGTTAAAAACGAAACTAGCTAAAAGGAAACTTCTCTCTAAGAATTCTATAAATAGGGATCCCTGCTCAGCAGGGAGCCTGCTTCCCCCTCTCCTGCTCCCCTTGCTTGTGCGCTCTCTCTCTCTCTCACACTCTGTCAAGTAAATAAAAAATAAAATCTTAAAAAAAAAAATGAATTCTATAAATACAAAATGAGTTGAGGAACAAAATATCCTGTTGTTAAATTGATAAAATCTCAAAAATAACTAAAGCAATGAATAAATGCATAATTTAAGTAAAAGTTATGAAGAATAAAAATGATTCTTATAACCAAAGTTATCAGTGAGAAATAAAAAGCAGGGAGTTGATGTCAAAAGTACATTTAGAATCCTCACTGAACGCTGAACGCTGAGATTTTTTTTTTCTGATTACAATTGCCATTTTCCTGTAGTTAGTATCCCCCACAAAATAAACAGGGTAGGTGGTCACGTGATTTTGGATACTTGAACTCTGGAGAAGGCACTCTAATGTTTATGTAGTAAATGCCTCAGTGAGTCTTGAGACCTGAGCTTTATATCAGAAGAAGAATTCTGATTGTGATTTTTCTTTTCTACAACCTCCCTGCTGAGTGATCTCTTTTGGGTGTCAAAAGAAAACAAACCAACTTGTTTTCCTCTGCTACTCTCACACCAACACTTCTGGAACACTTCTGACATAGATGGCTAGGATTTTTCCATACCAAGCAATTCTCTAAGTCTCTGCAGATACCAGCTGGGTATCCTATGATTTAATCCCATTCTCACACTAACCAGAGTTAGCACAGACCTTAACTAAATTAGGTTAAGGGCTCAGTGCCCTAAGACTGCCCCCCCCCACTTCAGACACCAGTCGCAAGTTAGTCGGTCCCCAGAACACCCACGGCTTCTGACCGATTTGGCTACAAACTGAGGGTTCCCATGACCCCCTTCAGGTTCAGTCATTTGCTAGAACAGCTCACAGAACTCAGGAAAACTGTTTACTTACTAAATTACTTGTTTATTATAAAAAGATTTGACTTAGCAACAGCCAAATGTAAGAAATGCATAGGGCAGGGTATGGGGGAAGGAGCATAAAGCTTCCAGGCCCTTTCCAGGCAGCTTACTCTTCCAGCATCTCTACATGTTCACCATCCTGGAAGCTCTCCAAGTCCCTTCAGTTAGGGATTGTTATGGAGGCTTCATATGTAGGCACAACTGGGTAAATCGTTGGCCATTATGATTAATTCAACCTCTAGCCCTTCTCCTTTTCCCAGGGGTCTGAGTGTGGGGTGGGAAGTTCCAATCCTCTGACCACAGGTTTATTCCCCTGGCTCCCAGCCCATCCCCCTCTGGAGGCTGCCCAGGAGCCCCAATCACCAGTCATCATTAGCCTCTTATTAGCAAGAGAGACTTTGCACTTTCGAGATTCCAAGAGTTTTAGGAGCTCTGTGCCAGGAAAAAGAGGGCAGAGATCAAATATATATATTTATTACTATATCATAGATATCAATTAATATTTCAGTATTGACTTTAGTATAGTCCTAAGAGCTTGGGCTTAATTCTTCCATTTAGGATGAAGGACTAAAGAACTGAAAAGATGGTAAGGGTGCAGATTTTGGACTTTCCCTCAAGTGTATGTGATCCAAAGACAAAGTCCATTGTATCCGATTAGGACACAAGCTCTAATTAAGGACCACCAGGATAATTTCCTGAGTTTTCTTAGCCTTGGTGTTTGCTTTAGTATTTTAAATTTATTAAAAATAATGTATCATAATTAGAATAAAATTAAATAAAAATTCGAATAATGACAATACAGTTTATCTACTGTCAGCCCATTCCCCAGAGATAATCATTGTTTGCTGTTTGGAGTATATATAGAGAGACAATTTGTGTGTGTGTGTGTGTTTGTGTGTGTGTATAGATAGCTAGATGAATATATATTTAACTAAAATCTTGCTAATCATATCCTATAACTTGGTTTAGTCCCACCTAATATATCTCACATTTCCCCATGTACATAATACAGACATAGCTCATTGTTATTAATGGTTCCATAGAAATACATTTTATATACATAACATTTATTTAATCACCACTTTTGAATGGTTTTTTCTTGGATTTTTTTTTTCTTTTCCTTCTTCCTTCCTTCCTCCCTTCCTTCTTTTCTTCTTTCTTTATCTTTTTTGCTAGAGTCTGAATTCTGGTTTTATTTTTTGAGGTAATGCTTTTGTAATCTCTACGTGGCCATTATCTGACACATTAAATACCATAAGTTCTCGGGGTGCCTGGGTGGCTCAGTCGTTAGGTGTCTGCCTTCAGCTCAGGTCATGGTCCCAGGGGGTCCTGGGATCGAGTCCCGCATCGGGCTCCCTGCTCTGCGGGAGGCCTGCTTCTCCCTCTCCCACTCCCCCTGCTTGTGTTCCCTCTCTCACTATGTCTCTCTCTGTCAAATAAATGAAGTCTTAAGAAAAAAAAATACCGTAAGTTCCGAAATAGTATTTAGCAAAGCATATAGTAATTTTAAGGAACTAATAAAATTATAAGAATAATAAAAACATAAATACAAAAGAAATAAAATATAATAAAAGGAATGAGAATGTAATGATAAAGAAAAACAATTTATAAGTTCACATTTTTTTTTTCTAGGTGTATGTGTACACCTCTTTAAGCAAATGGCACTATAAATCTTCAGGTCCCTATAAAATAATTTCTTTTTAAAGATATTTATTTATTTATTTATTTGAGACAGAGAGAATGAGAGAGAGAGAGCACATGAGAGGGGGGAGGGTCAGAGGCAGAAGCAGGCTCCCTGCCGGGCAGGGAGCCCGATGCGGGACTCGATCCAGGGACTCCAGGATCATGACCTGAGCCGAAGGCAGTCGCTTAACCAACTGAGCCACCCAGGCGCCCTAAAATAATTTCTTTTGATGATTGGTTATCTTGGATTGCTACTAGTCAGATGATGATTTTTGTCTTACTATCTTTGATTCTATTTGCAGCCTCCCAGGTAGTGAGACCTCCAATAGACAGAGAACCTGAGTCATTGCATCAAAGAGGGGAAGGACCATTTTCCCGTTCAGACTTTGAACAGTTGTTAGAAGCCTTACCAGCCTTACCGGTAGGTTCATTGGTGTGTTGGTAAATGTTTAACCACCAGCTCTTTTATTTATTTATTTATTTATTTATTTATTTATTTATTTATTTGAGAGAGAGAATGAGATAGAGAGAGCATGAGAGGGGGGAGGGTCAGAGGGAGAAGCAGACTCCCCGCTGAGCAGGGAGCCCGATGCGGGACTCGATCCCGGGACTCCAGGATCATGACCTGAGCTGAAGGCAGTCGCTTAACCAACTGAGCCACCCAGGCGCCCTAACCACCAGCTCTTCTCTCCGCCCTCAACACCCCACCCAAAAAGAAAGAGAGAGAGAGAGACCCTGATGTGTAGTGTTTGGTGTAAATGTTCCCACCATGGCTGATTTCATGTTACCAACATGACATCAATTTGATTGCAGAATTTCTGAAACTCTGACAGATGGCTTTCACTAGCTGGTTTGAGTTGACTCCAGGACACCACTGGGTTGTTGTGAGATGGTTCTGTTCTTATCGATGTGATTTGATCAAGGCCAGCTTCCTGAACATATAGCCTGTGTAGTCCCCACACGGCCCATGCTTTTTTAATGCTCAGCAGTCACTGTTTCAAAATTCTTAATAATGTTTGAACAAGGGGCCTCACAGTTTATCTTGCATGGAGCCCCACAAATTATGTAGCCTGTCCTTTCCACAGGACAAGATTTGGGTTCCTATAGTGCCCAGCAGTAGAAAGGTGAGTAGAGGGGAAACACCGGGAGATTTGCAGTCTGTTTCTTAACAACATGATCATGATCCTTGAGAGACACATATGACATTCTTTCCTGGGATTTATGTTTCTTCCCAGCAGATTTGGGCAGTTTTATTTTGCTAACATCAATCAGGATCAATGAAGTTATCTTGGCCTTGAAATTTTTTCTTTTTAATTGTGGTAAAATACAACATAAAATTTACCATCTTAATTATTTTTAAATGTACAATTCAGTACTGTTAAGAACATTTATATTGTTGCATGACCAATATCCAGAACTCTTTCTTTTTTTTTAAAGATTTTATTTATTTGACAAAGAAAGACACAGTGAGAGAGGGAACACAAGCAGGGGGAGTGGGAGAGGGAGAAGCAGGCCTCCCGCGGAGCAGGGAGCCCAATGCGGGGCTCGATCCCAGGACCCTGGGACCATGACCTGAGCCGAACGCAGACGCTTAATGACTGAGCCACCCAGGCGCCCCCCAGAACTCTTTTTATATTGCAAAACTGAACCGCTATATCTATTAAATAATAACTCCCCATCCCCCTTCCCCCTAGTCCCTGGCGAACACCATTCTACTTTGTATCTCTATAAATTTGACTACTCAATTTACCTCATGTAAGTGGATTCATACAGTATTTGTCTTTTTGTGACTGGCATATTTCACTTACTATAATGTCCTCAAGGTTCATCCATGTCAGATTTTTCTTCCTTTTTAAGGCTGACTAATATTTCATTGTGTATATCTACCACATTTTGTCTGTCCATTCATCCTTCAGTGGACGTGTGGGTTGCTTCCACCTTTTGGCTCTTGTGAAATAATGCTGCTCTGAACATGGGCATACAAATATCTCTCTGAGATCGTGCTTTCAGTTCTCGTGTGTATGTACCTAGAAGTGGAACTGCTGGATCACATGGTAATTCTCTATTTCATTTTTTGAGGAACCTTACTGTTTTTCATAGCAGCTGCGTCATTTTGCATTTCTGCCAGTAATACATAAGAATTCCAGTTTCTCCACATCCTTGTCAACACTTGCTATCTTCTTGTTTTAATGGTAGCCATCCTAATGGGTGTGAGATGGTATCTCATAGTAGTTTTGATCTGTATTTCCTTAATGATTAGTGATGTTGAGCATCTTTCCATGTACTTGTTGGCCATTTATATTATCTTTCTTGGAGAAAGGTCTATTCAAGTCCTTTGCCAATTTTTTAATTGGGTTGTTTGTGGAAGTTTTATTTTTTATTCTTAAATTCTTTGATAGCTTCTTTACTACTTTCATGATTTCATATTTTTACACTTACCATTTTTAATCTTTAAATTTGGAAATAATTTCAATCTTACGGAGAAGTTGAAAGAATGCAAATAATAATAAGAACGCTGTATACTGTTTTACCAGATTCACCTACCTGTTGACTTTTACCCCATGTGCGTTAACCTCTGCGCGCTTTCTCTATCTTTCTCTATCATCCATTTATGTAAACACATAATTTTTTTCTGAACTTTTTGAGAGTAGCTTGCACACATCATGGCTTTTTACTGCTGAATACTTTACTGTGTATTTCCTAAGAATAAGGACATTTTTTTTTACAGAACTATAGTACAGTTACCGATGCCAGGAAAGTTTACTTAATACTTCCACCACGTTCAGGTGCCACATTTCAATTTTGTCTGTTGATCCAGTAATAGCCTTTATAGCTTTTTCCCCTCCAATACATAATTCATCTGGAATCATTATGGTATTATCATGTCTCTTTAGTCTCCCTTAATCTTAAACATTTCTACAACTTTTCTTTATGACATTTTTGAAGAATACAGTCACCCCCACTATCATCTTTTGTAAAAAAAAAAATAGAATTTTCCTCATTTTTGGTGTGTGGTTTGCCTGGTTTTGGTGTGTGGTTTAATATTCTCACCAGAATATTACCTGAGTGAGGTACCCTTCTCAGGGTCTTACTTGTGGAGGCAGCGGTGCCCACCTGCCCCCCCATTTGTGATGCTAATTTTGATTATTTGGTCAAGGTGTTGTCTGATTTCTTCGCTGTACAAGTTAGTTTTGTATAGTTACTATTTTTCCCTTGCAACTAATAAGTGGTGGGGAGACATTTTAAGACCGTACAAACATCCCACTCGGCATTAAGAATTTCCCCTAGATTGAGTATCCATTGATGATTCTAGTGTGATTCAATATTTACCTTGTTGGCTGCAAAACAATGATTTGGGGCGTCTGGGTGGCTCAGTCCTTCGGCTCAGGTCATGATCCCGGGGTTCTGGGATCGAGCCCCTGGTCGGGCTCCCTGCTCAGCAGGGAGTCTGCTTCTCCCTCTCATCTGCCTGCCGCTCCCCCTGCTTGTGCTCTCTCTCTCTCTCTCAAATAAATAAAATCTTTTATTTAAAAAAGAAAAGCAATGATTTTCAAACTCCAGTATTTTCTCCACGTTTATGTCAGCCCTCAGCATTCTGCTATATGTAAGAGCCCTCCTTTCTCCCCCAGAAGTTTTTTTTGCCCACTAAATTCAATCCTTCCCCCACCCACTTTTTCAACTAGTTTTGTGTATGCTCAGATACTTACATGCATGTAGAAAATACACACACACACACACACAGAGGACTTGGCTCTTTGCCGTAGAAATTCAGTAGTTTGTAAGGGGTGTGGCTCAACCTTGGTATCTGAAGTGTAGCTGTTTTGCGGACCTTGGACTCTGGCCATGGCCTGGTGGAGGGGGCTGGCTGTCATGGTGCTGAGAGTGTGGGAGGCTCTGGGAGGCAGCACCTCACATTACGTACTTTTTCCTGGACTCTCGGGGTTGAAAGGTGTCTTAAAAGTTATCTAGGCAATCCTGCCCCTGGATAAAATGAAACTTGGTAAATCATCTCATGTTTCATTTGCACCTGACAGATTTTCTCATGTAAAAGAGCACTGCCAACCACTGCATTTAATGAGGGTATCACACCCCCTAATTAATGAATTTAACATTAAAAACCAAATCAATATTTTTGAGCGTGGCATAGGATTTTCTTAAGGAGAGCCACGTCTCTCTATTGAGGAGACCTAACAACAGCTTCTTTTTAAGGCTTTATTTTGGGCCCTTATTATTTGTAAACAGTGGAAAGAAGACTGAATGTGGCCAGGCCACAGGTCATTCATTCCTTCCCCTCTGACACACAGATTTGGGGGTGTCAACAGAAGATGCAGCATTTTCAGGGAAAGAGCCAGGCAGACCTTAAAGCTGACCTCTCGTCCCTATTCTGGCTGCTTTTATCAGCACAAGAAAGGAGACAAATCAAGAAAACCTGGGGCAGAACCTGGGGAGGCATCTGTGTTGCCCTTAATCCCAGAAAGTTCACTCAGCTGCTTTCAGAACCAAATGGACAAACCCAGTAAACGGCTTGCTTGGCCCTTGGTTGTTGCCGAGAGAAACTCTAGCATTTTGCAGGAAGGAAAACGGGGCTTGGGGAAAGAATGGCCGGAAGTGTTTTGGAAAGTGAAACCGAAGTTCTTTTGCATTTTTGTTCCCTCAGAGTCAGGGAATTCTGGTATTGTGCAGCCTGGGAGTGAGGCAGTGCAGCTTTGGTAGGGCTTGAAGATAAATCCCCCTCTTGCAGCCAGAAGCCCGGAGGGCTCCAGCAGGGAGGCATCCCTGGAGACTTGGGGGCAACTTGCCGGTCACCTCAGACAGGTCTCCTGGGGGTGCCCACCACACAGCCAGCGGCAGGGTTAACACCTCCCCAGAACACTTTTGCGGCATTCTGTTGCAGGCTGAGGGCAAGGGGTTTGGGGGTGGAGTGAATGGTGAGAATCATGCACAAACGACGAGGGCCCTCGGTGATGTTTCAATTTTGTATTTGAAGATCTAGAACGTTTATGTGGGACTGAAGTCAAAACTGTCAAGAGAGTATACTCAGAGGAGTCTGGTATTCCTGCCCCTCTTCCCCTCCCCCGTAGATTGCCATTTTTTTTTTTAGTTTATTTTTTTATTTATCCTATTCCTGCTTTTGGGAAAAAAACCCGCAGCCATCTCTCCCCTTTATTATAAGAGGGAGCCCATTAAAATACTGTTCTTCACTTTACTTCCTTCATGTAATAGTATCTCCTGGAGAAGTATACAGTGTCTTCTGTGTCCTGGTCCACTGTGTGGATGGACCACAGCTCTTTCCTGCACTTTCTGTTGCTGGGCATTCGGGTTATTTCTAGTCTTTAGTTATTCCAAATAATGCAGTGAATAAATATCCTTGTGCATGTGCCATACATCATATTTTTGTCACTGTGTCTTTGTGAACCTCCTCCTCTGAGAAAGCAGAGTCGATTCTCTTTTTGTCAGTCTCTGCGGATCTTTTCTCTGGCTGGGGACAAGGTATCCGTCCTTCTCTGCATCAAGTCCAGCTTTTCAGCCCTCATCCTAGCTGTGGATTTCCTGCGTTTCATTCATTTCCTGTCTCCTCAACAGAAGGGTTCCTGGCAAGATCAGCCTTCAAGGAGTAATGGTAGGTGTTTCTAATACACTTTACATAACTTGCATCAGTGTGGCAGGAATAGAAACATCTGATACACACCAAGCAATTTGAGGTGACTTGGGAGAAGGTTAACAAATGAGTGGAGAATTCATTTCTTATCTCCATTCAGGCATGGATTATACCAGGCTTTTCTGTGGGAGGATGGAAAGGGCGGGGTGGTTTCTGCTTTGAAACCCTTGCGCAATAGCATCTGGGGAATGCGGCAATTCCTTCCACCCGTCACCTCCCCCCGCCCCCAATGAGCTCACCCTCTGGAAGGAGGGATGGGAAGCCCTGGTAAGGCTGGAACCCACAGGCCAGCATGACAGAGTGGAATGCTGACTCTGTGGAAACATCTGGTGTGTGGCTCCAGATACTACTTGTATTTTTTGGAGGGAGAAAGGCCGGAGGGAGAGAGGTCACTGGTGTGTTTTGTGCCCTGAATCCTTGCCCAAAGACCATGACCTCGGGGAAAATATTCCAGCATCTGCTACAGGGTTGAATGGCTTATGAACAAGTTTTTGGTGTAGTCTCTCCATGATATGTAAAGTTTATCAGAGGCCATTCCTTATTTTTTTTTTTTTCTGGAAATTTAAACTTCAGAGTCCAAACACTTCGCTTTCCTAGGAATCTCTGCCTTCGGCCTAAGTAGGAGATTGCATGATACAATCTTGAATGAGAGTTACTATTACCGAGCGCTTGTCAGGTGCCAGGCCCTGTTCTAAGAGCTTTCTAGGGCTTATCTCATTGAATCCTTCAATCACCTGGAGATGGGTACCACGGTTATCCTTGCTTAATGATGAGGAAGTGGAGACTCGAGAGGTCTAGTACTTTCCTGAAGGGTCACACGACTAGAAAGGAGTGAAGCTGGGATCTGAACCCAGCAGCGTGACTCCAAGGCTCCCCCTCCGAAGCCCTGGCTCTATTACTCTGTAGCTCCAGGAGCTTAGGCAATGGCTTCACTTCTCTGAAGAGTAAGAGTTTCTTTCAGTTTTGCAATTCTGTGGTTTGGAAGTTTGGACATGACTTCCCTGAAGCATTACCTTCTCCTAAGGTGAGGAGGAATTTACAGGTGCTCTGTACAACGACAGTTTGGCTCCCTTTTGGTGTGTTCTATGGTCTGGGGAAACTGGATTCACTCAGCCTGAGCTGCGCACCCAGGACTGACCCTTAACTATGGTTAATAATTAACTCAGGCCTCAGAGACTGGGGCAGAGCCAACTGGATTCTACTGAAAACTTGTGGGGTGTGGGAGAAGAAAAGCTTGAAGTTTCATTTTCCTGTACTGTCATGTGACAACCCATCATTGGCTTCATCTCTGGGGTGGATTCTTGTTTAGAGGAGCCAAGGAGTTTGCAAGAACACTTCAGAGCAATGCATTCCTTAGCCAGGGCTCAAGACATGACTGCATTAATCCCTGGGCTGTGGACTGATTTTCTCCCTGCCCAGACTGGGTCTCTGGGTTTCCCTTGTCTCCCCTCTTTCTGCTTCGTGGTGTTCGCATAGCCCCTCTGTATCCAGTAACAGACCCATGCTGCGAAAGCCCATCCCAAGCTTTCTGGCAGAAACCCTGGAGCGGATTCCTGGGATCCTGACTCCCAGCCCATCCTCTGTCAGGATATCTAAATGTTTGGGGACGGATATTGGAAGAGTCTGAGAACTTCTTTTCTGGTCCCCACGGAGATGCTGGGAGCATCTGCTGCCACTCTACTTTCTGAAACCAGCACAGAGGTTTGGACGGTTTCTTCAGGTCTCTCTCGAGGGTCTATCCCTTAATGACTTTGAGGGCTCAGAGCTGTTTGTTTCTGTCATTGTTCTTCTTCCTCTCTCTGTGATTATCTCTGCCCTTCCCACCTTTCTCTGAGACACTCAGAGGTGTGTTGACCTTTGGCCATGAGGGAGGCCGTTCTGTTGCCCTCACAGCCTCCCAGGGCCTTTGAATGATTTCCGGGTAGAATTTTCTTTTCCGTTGGCCGACGCGACTTCTTTTCTCCTCAGATCAAAGACACACCGTGTTTTTAGGAGATCATGTTAGCCACACAGAGGCCCCACTGAAGCCAACTCAGCTTATTTGTCATCACATGCTGTTAACAATAACCTTCAAAAATAATTGCGTCTGCCTTCGGCTCAGGTCATAATCTCAGGGTCCTGGGATGGAGCCCCGCGTGGGGCTCCCTGCTCAGCGGGAGGCCTGCTTCTCCCTCTCCCACTCCCTTTGCTTGTGTTCCCTCTCTCGCTGTGTCTCTGTCAAATAAATAAAATCTTTTTAAAAAAATTGCTTGTATTTTAAACTTCTCACTGTGATCTCTACAGAAGAGATTTCTGTGTTTTCAGAGGAGTCAGATCACTCCAGGATCTTACCGTCCGACAATTGATAAGCATTTGATAGATTTGTTGTCTCGTTAGATCCTTACTTACGCTTTCTTCACTTTGCTGATCCAAAAAGGAAGACACTTTTGCATAAGCTCTTGGTTTGCCAAAGTTAAAATACATATTCTGTTATTTGACAGTCTGCAGTCTGAATTTTAATCACTACCTGGCATTCCACCTTAGACTTAAGTGCTTAATTCCAGGCCAGGACCGGAATCTGGAGAACTCTCCGCCTTTGGTACTGATAAACGGAGTGGTTGGTTAGAAACGTGAAACCCTTAAAATGACGATTCCCTAATAAGTGGTTCTATCTCTTCTTCTTTCAAGGAGGCAAATGTGTACAGGATGGATCGGAAACACAGAGGCCACTGTGTTGTTGTCAATAACCACAAGTTTACCTCAATGTCCGATAGACCAGGGACTGATAAAGACGCTGGTAAGAAACTCTGGAATAGTATATCACATGCAAGTTGGGGATCTTAAAAAAATCACTTCTTTATTTTCACATTTTCTTTCTGTAATTTTAATCTTCCATTTAAATGTAAGGGTGATATCGTAAATGTTTCTGGCCTCTTGTATGTCCCTGGTGTTGTAGTCCACCTGGGCTGCTCTAACGAAATACCATAAGTGTGATGGCTTATAAACAACAAACATTTATTTCTAACAGTTCTGGAGGCTGGGAAGTCCAAGAGCAAGGCTCTGACATTTTGATGCCTGGTGAGAGCCCGCTTCCTAGATGGTGGTCTTTGTGCTGCGGCCTCACTTGGCAGAAGGGGCAGGAAAGCTTTCTGGGGTCTCCCTGTGGGCTCTACCCTCCCGACCTCATCACCTCCCAAAGGCCCCACTTCCTCATACCCTAACCTAGGGGTTAGGATTTCAACATACGAATTTTTAATTTAAATTTTAGGTAGTTAACATACAGTGCAATATTGGTTTCTGGAGTAGAATTTAGTGGTTCATCACTTACATACAACACCCAGTGCTCAGGGACGCCTGGGTGGCTCAGTCGGTTAAGTGACTGCCTTTGGCTCAGGTCATGATGCTGGAGTCCCAGGATCGAGTCTCGCATCAGGCTCCCAGCTTAGCAGGGAGTCTGCTTCTCCCTCTGACTCTCTCCCCTCTCATGCTCTCTCTCTCTCTCAAATAAACAAATAAAATCTTTAAAAAAACAACAACAACCCAGTGCTCATCATAACAAGTGCCCTCCTTAACACCCATCTCCCATCTAGCCCATTCCCCACCCACCTCCCTCCATCAACCCTCAGTTTGTTCTCTAGTGTTAAGAGTCTCTTATGACTTGTTTCCCTCTTTCCTTTTCTTCTTTTTCCCCTTCCCATATGTTCATCTGTTTTCTTTCTTAAATTCCACATATGAGTGAGATCATATGGTATTTGTCTTTCTCTGACTGACTTATTTCACTTAGCATTATACTCTCTAGCTCCATCCATGTCATTCTTTTTGATGGCTGAATAACATTCCATTATATATATATATGGAATATTCCATTATATATGTATGCACACACACATACCACATCTTCCATTATGCATTCATCAGCCAATGGATATTTGGGTTCTCTCCGTAGTTTGGCTATTGTTGATAATGCTGCTATAAACATTGGGGTACATGTATCCCTTTGAATCTGTATTTTTGTATCCTATGGGTAAATACCTGGTAGTGCAACTGCTGGATCATAGGGTAGTTCTTATTTATTTATTTATTTATTTGAGAGAAAGAGAGAGACAGAGCAGGAGCAGGGGGAGGAGTAGAGGGAGAAGCAGACTCCCTGCTGAGCAGAGAGTCTGATGTGGGACTCGATCCCAGGACCCTGGGATCATGACCTGAACCGAAGGCAGATGCTTAACTGACTGAGCCACCCAGGCGTCCCAGGGTAGTTCTATTTTTCACATTTTGAGGAACCACCATACTGTTCTCCAGGGTGGCTGCATCAGTTTGCATTCCCACCAACAATGCAAGAGGGATCCCCGTTCTCCGTATCCTCTCCAGCACCGCTTGTTTCTTGTGTTGTTAATTTTAGCCATTCTGACCGGTGTGAGATAGTATCTCATTGTGGTTTTGATTTTGAGCATCTTTTCATGGGATATAAACATTTAAACCATAGCAGGGGTGTCACCAACCTGCTGAGAGTGACAAGAGCCCCTGACCAGTTAGAACTCTGTGGTTTGGGGGAAAGCATGGTGCGTCAGCTAGAGAAAATCCATATTTGAGTTCTGGTTCCATCACTAACCAGTTTGTGACTGTGGGAGAGTCCTGGGGCCTTGGCTTCCTTATCTGTGAAATAGGATGAAACTTGGGCCTCTGCCGACTCTCAGGACCATTGTGATAGCACGGTGGGTACTATAAGAAGGCAGATAGTAAGTTGTAAAATTTTATTGTTATGAAAGTAAAAAAACTCCCAAGCTTCAGGCTCTTGGCTGTGCAAGTTTTATAACTATTCACATTGTTTCATCCCTTCATTTTATTGCATTCCACTCCATTTCATTTCATTTTATCATTTCCCCTTTCTCTCCTTTTTTTTTTTTACAGAGCACTTGAGGCATGTGTTTGAGTGGCTTGGGTTCAGTGTACATGTATATGATAATGTGACCAAAGGACATCTGGACAAGGTTCTGCAGGAATATAAGTGTCATCCAGGCCATTCTGACGGAGACTGCTTCGTGTTCTGTGTTCTGACCCATGGGAAATTTGGAGCTGTCTACTCTTCAGATGGGACCCTTGTTCCCATTCAGGAGATCACGTCTCACTTCACAGCCCAGCAATGCCCTGGTCTGGCTCATAAGCCCAAACTCTTTTTTATCCAGGCCTGTCAAGGTGAAGAGATACAACCTCCTGTATTCGTTGAAGCAGATGCTGTAAATCCTGAGCATGTATCCCCTTCCCTTAAGGACAGTATTCCCGATGAGGCGGATTTCCTTCTTGGCCTGGCCACTGTCCCTGGCTACGTATCCTTTCGGCATGTGGAGAAAGGCAGCTGGTATATTCAGTCTCTGTGTAATCATCTGAAGAGCTTGGTCCCAAGGTGAGAGTTTTGAGTTGTTTCATCCACCTTTATCCATCCATCTGTCTACCTGTTCATCTGTCTGTTCACACACCCTCCCATGCACCCATCCATCTGTCCGTCCATCGATCCACTCATCCATCATCCATTCATTCATCTGTCCATCTGTTTATCCATCTATCCATCCATTCGTCCATCATCCATCCATCCATCCATCCATCCAAACATCTGTCCATCCAACAAACCTGTATTGAGCACCAGCATATAACTGCAAGAGAAGATACAGAAATTGAAAAAAAACCCACAGTCTCTGCCCTCAAGTTGCTCACAGTCTAGAGGGATAGAAAAAATAGATGGGGGGAAGAGCATCCCCTGTGGCCAACGCACATTGTAAAGCATAGGTGTTATGGGAACACATAGAACTAGTACTTCACCCAGATTTGAAGGATCAGGGAAAGCTAGAGATGACAGATAGATGTTGGGTAAATAATTGGGATGAAAGGCATGCTGGGCAGAGGGAGCAGTATGAGTAAAGGTAGGAGGGCCTTTTATTTGTTCGTTTGTCAGTGACTCATATTTGCTGAGTGCCTGTGTGTTGCCTTTGGCATTATAATACCTTTGATCTACTGCTCTGACAACTTTCCTTCTGGATCTGTCACATGCTGCTTACGTGCTACTCTGGAAATGGGCCTTCACCATGGTTTAGTCCCAGACCCAATTCTCGGCTCTCTATAGCTCTTGGCAGCTTAAGCTATCCCTGGAAGCCACTTTCTCCATGAAAATGTCTCCCAGATTGCTATCTCTCGTCCATTAATCTCTGAATTTTTAGAGGGCAGAGTTGTTTCATTCAGCTTTATATCCTCATACCTGACACAGTACCTTCTCTGCTGTTGAGCTCCATAAATATTTTCTGGATCAATTAATGACTGACTGAGTGAATCTCCTTCTTCAGGTCAGTCCTATATATTTCTTGCAGCATGCCAGACATCCCACCCTTTTGGTGCCCTTGGACCTCACATTCAGTATGCCTAGTCCTAAATTCATCTGCTCAGCCCTCTCCAGCAGCCTCCTACTCCTGAATCCCCATTTCTAGGAATGGTCACCATGATCTTCTGGGGATTAAGAATTGGAAACTCAGAACTGGAATCTTGACTCAACTTTAGCTTTTCCTTCTTCTTCGCTAATCCCTCCATCCCCACCATAGCCATCGAGGACCAATGTCCTATGACTTCAGGGACAAGGCAGTATTTATCAAGGTCTTACTACGTGCCTACTGTACTGGGCACTGAGCTAGGAACTTGGGGTACAGTCGTGAAAAAGAGAGACAGAATCTCTTCATGGAGCTTATTGTGTAGTGAGAGGAAAGGAGGTAATGAAAATGTAGGAAGTGAGGGGCGCCTGGGTGGTACAGTCAGTTAAGCATCCGATTCTTGGTTTCAGCTCAGGTCGTGATTTCAGGGTCATGGGATTGAGCCCCATGTCGGGCTCCACGCTCAGTGGGGAGTCTGCTTAAGAGTCTCTCTCCCTCTGCCCCTTCTTCTCTCTTTCTCTCAAGTAAATAAATCTTTAAAAAAATGTAAGTAAATGAATATTTAAAATAATAAGATAATTTCAGGAAGGGATACCTGCTGTGAAGAAAGCAAAGAAGATAATATAGAGAATGGGGTGGGGAGCTCCTTGAGCAAGGCTTCTTGGTAGAGGTGATATTCCAAGTGAGACTGAGTGATCGGAAGGAGTAGCCGCAGGAAGAGCTAGGGGCAGGGGGCTCAGCTGGTGTGAGACACGACGCAAGGACTAAGAACCAGGCAGGGCCTGCATTCCCACCTGAAAATAGCAATCATGATGAGGGTAAGTAGTAGTAATACAATGATACTAAAACTGATGGTCAGTGGACTGTTACAGTCAGCGTTCTATGTGCTTTACATAACTCACCTCACTTACGTCTCATGCAGCCCCTAAAATGGGTACTCTTAGAGTCCTTATTTTAGAGCTGAGAACACCGAGGCTCAGTGAATTTAGTGTGAAGTCAGTCACTGTGTCTACGGCCACACAGTGAGTGATGGAGCCGTGATTCACACCCAAGGTCTGTCTCCAGAACCTGTGCTTTGCTTCCAAGGATGTGAATTGCCCACCCCTGGAACATTTTGGGAAATGCTACATATCCTGCAAGCCCAGGCTCAAAAGTCACCTCCTCTGTGGAGTCGTCTTCTCCCAGAAGGAAAGTGCTCTTCTTCCTCTGAACTTGCAATGGACTTTGTCCGCTTTTTTTTTTTTTAAGATTTTATTTATTTATCTGAGAGAGTGAGAGAGTGAGTGAGTGAGAGGGAGCACGAGCAGGGGGAGGGGCAGAGGGAGAGGGAGAGAGAAATCTAAGCAGGCTCCCCACCGAGCAAGGAGCCCGATGCGGGACTCGATCCCAGGACTCCGGGATCATCACCTGAGCTGGAGGCAGACGCTTAACTGACTGAGCCACCCAGGTGCCGCAACAGAGGATTTGTCCACTTTTTATATGGTGTTGATCACATTCTGCCTTGTATTATGAATTTTGTGTATATACCATACTTGGTATGTGCTTCATGTCTGCATTTGAAGTGTTTAAGCTCAGGAACGGTGTCATGTTTATCTTTGTATCCCTCCTCAAACCAAGAATAGAGAGGGCATTCTTAATAGTAGGGTCCCTCTCTATCTTTATCCCCTACCTATCTATTCTATCTATCTGTCTATCTATCTATCTATCATCTATCCATCCATCCATCCATCCATCCATCCATCCATCCATCCATCCATTCATCCTATTTATCTATGCATGTATCATCTATCTGTCTGTCTATATCCACCAGCTTGGAGGAGGAACAAGGAAAAATATATATAATTATATGCAAACTTCCTTTGTGGACTAAGTGCCTTAACGTGCAGTATGTGAGGCACCTGGCTGGCTCAGTCAGAAAAGCATGAGACTCTTGATCTCAGGTTCATGAGTTCAAGCCCCACGTTGGGTATAGATTGCTTAACAAAAAGAAAAAAAGGGCACCTGGGTGGCTCAGTTGGTTAAGCATCTACTTTCAGTTCAGGTCATGATCCCGGGGTCCTGGGATCGCGCCCCACATCAGCTCCCTGCTCAGGGAGGAGTCTGCTTCTCCCTCTCCCTCCGGCCCTCCCCCTGCTCATGCTCTCTCTCTCTCAAATAAATAAAATCTTAAAAAAAAAAAAAAGAATTAAAATGCAACTGTGATTGTTATAGTGGGTTTTTTTTTTATTTATTTGAGAGAGAGAGACTGAGAGAGAGAGCGCATGAAAGGGGGGAGGGTTGGAGGGAGAAGCAGACTCCCTGCTGAGCAGGGAGCCCGATGCGGGACTCGATCCAGGGACTCCAGGATCATGACCTGAGCCGAAGGCAGTCGCTTAACCAACTGAGCCACCCAGGCGCCCTGTTATAGTGTTCTTAAACACTAAATGTAGAACTGAAAAACTTCATACATAATGTAGCATTTTTTTTTTCAACTTTGAAATAAGCATTTCTTTATATTTGGCAGGACTCCAGTTAGCATCTTGGCCTATTCAACTAGGAAGAAGCCACATGTTTTAGGGTTTCTTCCTATGACCTTTCTATGATGTGATTTCTGTCTCCTGATTGAAAATATTTTTTCTTCTCTGCCTGCAGAAATGAAGATATCTTATCCATCCTCACTGCTGTCAACAATGATGTGAGTCAACAAGCAGACAGACAAGGAACAAAGAAACAAATGCCCCAACCCGCTTTCACACTACGGAAAAAGCTAGTATTCCCTGTGCCACAGGAAAAACTTTAATAGTAGAGAGTTCTCATTGACTCTTGGACTTGAAATGAGGCTTTGGTCATCCATTCCAGTCTCCCACCCATCACAGGAATCAATGATAGATGGTGAGCTGGCCTGCATATGTCATTCTAATTATTGGAAATACCCTATTTTCTCATGCAGCAAAATCTTTTTTTTTCCCTTGTTCTTTTTGACAAGTCTGAATGTTTGAACACTTTCTTTCTTGAAGCTTCAGACTGTAGTCTTGGCTTTGGTTGCACGCCCTGGGAAAAAGCAGTTGGCCTTGGTTTGTGCATCCGTGAGGTAAAGGGTGGAACCACGTAGATTTTCAGATTCCTTTGAGCTTTAAGAACCACTGTTCTTAGCCTCAGTTGAGCTTCAATTTCCTCTCTACGTGACCACCCCTTGTTACCATTCTGCATCCCCTCTGCATGGCCTTGTTGTGGACATTGGATAATGGTAGAGATCACACATGGTTCATTGACCTTCTCTGCTCTCCCCTTCCTAAGGTTCCTCTCCTGCACATCTACCTAGGTGAAAATTTGGTCTATACGGTGCTCATTTCCTGCTTTAGTGTAAGGAAGGTATTCCTGCAGGAACTGTTTCTCTTGGGTCAGGAACAGGTTCGGCTCTAGGATGCTGATAGTCTGAATGAAGAGAGACACACTCAGCAACTCTGGGAGCAGAGACTTTACAGCCTGAGATTAAATCCCATGTTGGTCAGACCCTTTCAGAAGCTGATAACCGAACACCCATGTCAAGCCAACTAAAGCAAAGAAGGGAATTTATTGTCTTAGTCGTCTGAAAACACACATATGGGTGGGCTGGCTTCCGATGAGGCTTGAATCAGGACTGAGTCTGCACGATAGCATGTCTCTCTTGGTCAGGGGTTCTCTCGATGGCTGTGCTGTGCTGACTACGGTCAACAGCCCCTCTCTGTTCCTCGGTCCAAAGGATGGAGGAGGGAGGCAGCCTGAGGGTCTGAAGCTGTTCACAGGGGATGTTGTTCTCTCCTTAGAGAGTTGTTCGGCTGTGCCTTGGAGGGTGTGGTTCTGTCTGGAAGACTTGATACTTCTTACATTAAGGCTTTGAATATCTTTATTTATGTGAACTTTTTTTTTTTTTTTCAATTTCAAGAGGAATTTTTTTTCTCAGCTCCTGCAGGAGGGAGGTTGAAAGTCCTCTCCTTAAGGCCTTTATTTCCAGATGAAGAAGTTGAGGCCCCAGGAGGCAAAGTGATTTGCTACAGTCCCCCAGATGGCTACTATTTATAGGATTTTATTTCCCACTTGAGTGAACTGGAATATCATGGATATAGCAGGGCTTTAGGAACATTTCCTTGGGTATTCAGATGTTCATGAAAGGTGTCAGGGAATGAAGAAAAATAACTCTCAGTAATGCCTGATTTTGCAGTTATTCATGTGAAAGTCACATTAATTTATGGTGTATTTGCTATGAGAACTATTCATAAGAAGTTTTTTATAATAGTAATTATGTAGATGGAGCTAGTCATTACGTGGATTTGAATGTAGCTTGACCAAGGAAAGGAATGTAATAAATATGTCAGAATAATCTTCCCAAACCAGTGTTTATACAAGTCAAAGCTAACTGCTGGTGGTTACAGTCTTTGTCCAACTGAATATACACAGCTTTGGGCCATTTCATAAAAGCTTCTCTGCGAGTGAAGGATGGTGTGGTTCAAAACAAAAAAGCAAAGAATCTGGAGAGGGAAGCCTTGGGTTTCCATTTGGCCTTGTGACTCCCTTGCTCTGAGACACTAAATCAAGGTAGTTTTTCGAGCCTTATGTATGAAGTAGAGAAAAATGACCTATTTAAGATAAGGATTTAGGGGAATATATAATATACGAATATCATAATAAATATATATTTCTCCATTTAAATCCAGTTGTTGCGAGGTCCTATAAGACCGTTAGGTGGCAGATACCTCTGGCAGTAACCTCAATGGAAACAGCAGAGTTTGAGTTCCTTTGCGTCTAATTCCAGCTGAGTTTTAGCCGCAGATCAACCCTAGCAATCCCCACTGGTGTCCTCTGAGTGAAGTGCTGGTTCTTCCCTCACTGATCACAGTGTCCCCAGCTCTCGGCTCTGAGTCCTGCTGGACGAGACACCACTAAGGAGCTCTCCTTCAGCAGCAGCCTCTTGGGTTCGATGCTGAAGTGCCCCGGTCCTGTGGGTCTAGTCCATACTGCCCTTGTGCTGGAGCTTAGTGCTTATGTAAGGTTAAATTCTGGAATCAGGAAATGAGCCACGAGCTTTCTTTTCAGACTTCTCCGGCAAACACTTGAGGAGTCACTGGAGACGTTGATGACTGTAAGTCATGGGCCTGTGCGGACACCAGGAACACACCCATCCTTCAGTCATTTCTCCTAAACGGAGCGTGTACACACTTGTCCCTTGTCTGTGAGTGTGTGTGTGTGTGTGTGTGTGTATGGGAATTTAGAGCAAAACACTGGAGGTGACTTGGTCCCAGGTATTTGGCAGTGGCCATCGTCAGCCCAGACATTTATGAAAGAAATGCGCAGATCGAGTGAGGTCTCTGTATATTTTGAGTAGTTGTGCTCAACCTACAAGAGCTATGGTTAATTTTTTCTTTTTTTTTCTTTTTTTTTTTTCTCGAAAGTCTAGCTTCTACCAAAAAAATGAAGGGTGAGGAAACGTTTTATAGAATATTATGCAAATGTTAGTTGTTTAAGAATGATACTACTGGTGTGACTGTTATTAGAGATACTAGTCACCACAGCATCCTCCTGCTCTCTGCTGCAGGGCCTCACCATGCGAGTGGGCAGGTTGGATATTGCCAGGGCTCCCCGTAGCCAGTGCTCAGATAATGCAGACTTACAAGCAGCTGATACGGTGTGGTTACTGATCCATCCGAACAGCCACTGACCAGTATAACACTATGGGGAATGCCACCGAAGAGCAGCTCTTTATCAGTGATCCCGTCTCCACTGAGGTAGACCAAATGAGAAGCTGACCTCATTTGGTAGATAACTTCTGTGCCATATTTGAGTCCTAAAATCTTCCAGGACTGATACTTTCTGAATGATTTAGTCATGTTCTTAACCTGGAATTCTTGGGTCCTTGGATGTTTGTGGATTTATTCTCAGGGTCTATGAGTCTTCCACCTTCCGTTTGAAATGCTTCAATTAATAGAGGTGGATCCTGGCTCTTCTGCATGATCTCTTTGTATCTGAGCACTGACAAACAACTTTTGTGTCTGCATCCTGGTGCCCACGGGAGTGACGAACTTTATATCGAACTTTTTAACGTAGCATGGATTAGGGTTCAGGGCTAGAGGTCCTCAGACCTGTTGTCAGATACCAGCACTTAATCTACCTGAAACCTGCTCCAGTCCATCCTCTAAGTCATGACAGACTCCTAGTCTACAATCCCTCAGCCCCTGCTGAACTCTGGAGGGAACTCACACTACACCCAAAATCATGGATTTGGGACCTTGGAAGAACCGTGGCTAGGGAACCCATGGTCCAGCCTTCGGGGTCAAATGGCTTACTCAAGTCTTACAGCTCTTAGTGCGGGATTTGCAGTCGTGTGTATCTCCGGCTTTGCCGTCTTGCCACCTGGTTTCACTGTGAGACAGCTTTATTTATCCTTTTCCCTGTTGTGATTTGAACCTGCTTAGAACGTACTTAAACCAACCCTGCCTCTCATTCTGAACTCTGAAGCCCTGCCAAACAATTGTAACTATCTTCCGGTGAAGTACATGTTGCTGGTGACAAGTTATTTAACTTTGTTTCTGGTAGGGTCTGGCTCTCCTCAAAAGTCTGCAGTTTGCCTTTAAGGACCTGGTAAGAATATCGCATGTGTGGTAAGGACATGTTTGTATCTTTAAACAGCAGCTAAATTCCTGAAAATGGAACCCTTTTTAAAAAGTACTAGGAGAAATTCCTTGTTTAAAGAAAGACTGATTTGCCAGTATAAACAACCACTTTGTTTTTTTGTTTTTTTTTTTAAAGATTTTATTTATTTATTTGAGAGAGAGAGAATGAGAGAGAGCACATGAGAGAGGGGAGGGTCAGAGGGAGAAGCAGACTCCCTGCCGAGCAGGAAGCCCGATGCGGGACTCGATCCAGGGACTCCAGGATCATGACCTGAGCCGAAGGCAGTCGCTTAACCAACTGAGCCACCCAGGCGCCCTTAACAACCACTTTGTAACATAACTTTTGCAGATATGAATTTTTAAGAGGATTTTTCCTCTTTTAAAATTTTTAAATTGTATGAATTTTTACTTTTTAAATCTATTTTTGAATAAATAATATCTTTACATTGCTCAAAGAGAATACAAAAAGGTATTCAAGATTAGTCTTGCCTGAATTTCTGTCCCCCAAATGCCCAGTCCTCCCACCTCTGAATCCCAGAGGTAATTTCAGGATTTCTTAATGCAGATGGAAATACAACAAATACAAATATATATGTATTTTAAAGGAGGCATTTCTTGAAACAAAGGACATACACTATGAAACTCAAAACCCTCATTTGGTCTCATTTTAAATGATTCTGTAAGATGCCTGGAAATACTTGTGCGTCTCTACCATTGGAATAACTTTATGAGTTTTGTGGACTGAGTACCTGTAAATAGTAGTAATTGTCTGACCAATAAATAAAGGGATTTTTTTTCCTTTTTACCTTTGAGTAATATCTTTGATTTCTGCTTACGTGGTAACATATACACATTGTGGAATATTTGGGAAGTAGAAGAACCCACAAAGAAGAGTTAATTCATTTATGATTCCATTTTGGCATGCACTTTCCCATGATTTCACTCTGCATTTGTCCCTGAGCTTCCCCACCACCTTTAAATCAGCCTAACCACCATGTCCTCCCTGTCTTGCGTCCAGTAAACTCTGTCATTACCAATATCGGTACCTCCACCGACATCTCAGCTGCAGACATGCCTCTCTGACAGCTGCCTCCTACCAGTCCATCTCACTTTCTCTAGGGCCCTGCCCCCAACAGTCTTCAGTGCCCCTGGGGCCTCTGGTTAGTCCATTGACCCTATCTGCCATCTTTCCAATGTCAGCACCACCCCTCACTTCTTCCCTCCCTCTTTATCCAGCTGGAGTCCCATGTGTCATCATTGAACTCACTTTCTCATGCCCACCCTCTAAACCCTTGCCTTTCCCACAGTCCTCATGGGGCAGGATCCAAGCTCTGGTTAATCACATATGCCTACTTACCCCCGTGTTTGTACTGGAATTCCTGGTTGAGGCTGGTGTAAAAATATACAGTGTTCCAGGCCAGTCTCATTTAAAACCAATGACCATAAACTTCAAACAGGCTTTGGGTAGTTCTCAGCAATCCTGTTAACATTTCCCTGGTTATGTCACCCTCTGCTTTCTCAGTCTATTTTACACTTTCTTTTGAATTCTCTTTTGCATTTTCAGACCTCTATCATCCTCCACTCTCCTCACTTTAATTTGATGGTCTCAGTGGCTTCACTAAGGGAAGTAATCCGAAAAGAGTTCTACCTTCCACCACCGAGTCCTCTGATCCACCTGCACCCTAACCCTGTTTACTGCTTTCTCGCCTGTCAACAGTAGGTGCACCGTCCAGTCCATGCTTCTCGCCAAGAGTCCATGTTTCCATCTTGTGCAGGACTGTCCCATCCTGCTCACTCGAGGACACCACTCATGTAGCCCTTCCTCCTCTCTCCCGTTCTATTAACTGTCCCTCTCACCCAGATCATCCCCCTCAGCACACAAAACATGCTGTAACTTCTCTTCCTTCAAAGCTAAAACTAAAACAGAACCAAAACCCCTGAATGCAGATCTTCTGTCACGTGCTCAGAGTCATACCCCGAGAGGAGGATTCGTGTGCGAGCGATCTGTTCAGGAATTGCTCTCTATCCAAAAGGAGTAAGAAAACTGGGCTTCCATCCTCCCTCAGCCCTCCATCCTCTCCTAAGAGCTGCCCCAGGTGGGAGACCTCAAACTTCCAGGCGCTTCCCGTGGTCTTGATATAGTTTTGGAATGTAGGTGAGGTTTGGTGGGGTGAGGTCCAGAGCCGACAGCCAAGAAAATTCTTGAGACGTCTTTGGTGCAAAATGGTGGTTTTATTAAAGCGCAGGGACAGGACCTGTGGGCAGAGAGAGCCGCTGCACCGGGGTCATGAGGGGTGACTGATTATATACCGAGGAGTTGGGGGACATAAGGAGAAGGGAGGTTTTCAAAATAACTTTTGTATGCTGAAGAGGTCCTACCAGATATTCGAGGCCTTGCCTTGTCAAGTTAAGGTGGTTTTCCCCTCTAGTAAAGCATTAACATTAAGACAGTTGGGAGTTTCCTGGAGGAATGTTATACTCTACCTATCACAAGTCCTTGTCCATAGGCTGCGGGTTATAAGGAAATTTTATTTTATTTACATTCCTTTCTACCTTTGTTCCCACATCACTGTGGATGGGTGGGTGATGTTAGGGCTCCAGGAAATTGAGTCTATGGATCTCTGGAAGTTAGGCTGTGGATAAGAATGCTTTTCTCTTGTAAATTGCTAAGACATTTTGTAAACTGAGGGAGACTCCTGTCTTGCAGGACTGTGATCTCGGTCAGTTAACCATTGGTTTTTCCCTTCCCTTAGCTTTAGGGCAGCCAGGAGTGCCTGAGGAATGTCGCACCTGTCCCACCTGGGAGTCGGGGGTGGGGGGGTGGCGGGGTGTCAGCTTGTGCCGGTGTGGGGTGTCCTCCGCTTGCCTTGTGCTTCCTCATCAGTCTGATGGGGTACTCTCCTGGCACAAAGGTGAGACTCTTTAGAAGCAAAGCCCCTGCAATCTGGCAAGCTGGCCAGACTGGCTGGCAGGTGGGGCTGGGGTGGGGGCAGGCAGAGGGGGATTAAAATGGATCAGAAGAGATCTGCCTGAAGCATGACTGCACCCCCTACACCCCTCTTGACCCCATATCCTATCTTATCCTCCCGCCCTCAACCTCATCCAACATTTGCAGGGCCTGGGCAACAGTATAATCTGAGGCCCATTACCTATATGTCGAAATAGGAATATGAACAAACTTTTTTTTTTATTATTATGTTATGTTAGTCACCATACAGTACTTCATTAGATTTTGATGTAGTGTTCCATGATTCATTATTTGCATATAACACCCAGTGCTCCATGCAATACGTGCCCTCCTTGATACCCATCACCGGGCTCACCCAACCCCCAACCCCCCTCCCTTCTGAAACCCTCAGTTTGTTTCCCGGGGTCCATAGTCTTTCATGGTTCGTCTCCCCCTCCGATTTCCCCCCCTTCATTTTGCCCTCCCTTCCCCTATGGTCCTCCATGCTATTCCTTATGGTCCACAGATAAGTAAAACCATATGATAATTGTCTTTCTCTGCTTGACTTATTTCACTTAGCATAATCCCCTCCAGTTCTATCCATGTCAGTGCAAATGGTGGGTATTCATCCTTTCTGATGGCTGAGTAATATTCCATTGCACATATGGACCACATCTTCTTTATCCATTCGCCAACAAACTTGTACTCCTACTCTTGCTTTGGAATGACTTTAAAGGCCAGGTTAGAATTTATCATTGTTATGGTGTGCAGAGTATCTGCCTCTGGTCCACAGCCTGTGCCTTTCTCTTCCCACCCCTAGGTCCTTCTAGATTACCTGATGCCCTAATAGATGCAAAAGAACATGAAAAATGTCACACAGAGTCGGATCAGTGTACCCTTCAGCCCAGATTTTTGTGAAAGAATTTTTTATGATCTCAAACTAAAAGATTAGAGCACTTTCTTGGATAGGCCCACCTTTTTCTTAACTAATTTCCTATGGATCTGTCATTTGTGAATTTATCTAAGCAAAAATGCCCTTTTTCCTTTTAACAATTTAAAAACATCAAAAACAATGTTGAAAAACTAAAGAATGAGCCACAAACTGGGACATGGTATGTACCACATATATAACTGACAAGGGATATGTAAATACATATAAATGTACATAAGTATGTATATTCTACAATTCTATAAAATAATCAGTCTAGTTAGAAGGGCGAAAAATAGGAACCATTGGTTAAAAGAAAAGGAATACAAATGAGCAATAAACAAATGGGAACATAATCCGCTAAATAATCGGAGAACTGCAAAACCGAAGCCACAATGAGGTACCATTTTGCACCCATCATATTGACAACATTTAAAAACCTGTCAGTAGCAAGTACAGGTGAGGATATAGATCAAAGGGGAGTCAATTATGCTGCTCAGAGAAATGTAAATCAACACAATCACTTTAGAGAACAACTTGGCAATATCTATAAAGGTTGAATATGTGCACATATCCATATTCACATTCATTGTGAAAATATTTCCTGAGAGGCAGGGGGCAAACCTAGGTGAGTAGTATGAACCAGCAATTCCATGTCTGGGTCTCTGCCCCAAAAGAAACTCTTGCACCTACGAGGGGAGACACGGAGGAGAATTTTCAGAGCATCATTGCTTGTAAGAGAGAAGAGAGAGGGGAAAAACAAAAGGAAGCAGCTTAAGCAACCAAAATATCCATCGATAGGAGGTTAGATGAATTGGGGTATAGTCACATAGAGGAATACCATCAAACGGTGAAGCAAAATGAATTGGGATTATTAGGTTGAACCATTGAAGTTGCCATTCGCTAGGTCAGACACGAATACTGGCAGTTTTGTATGGGTCGGTCATACACATGCCCTGCAGCACGATGCTTTCCGGAACTGAGTAGTGGGGAATGGGGACATTGTGAATGTACTAAATGCCACTGAACTATTCACTTTAAATTGTTCAAATGGTAAATGAAATTAAAAGTCTATCAAAAAAAGAGCATATGCAATATGATATAATTTTTACAGAGTTAAAAACCCACATGACAGTCCTATAGGTTGCTTGTACATTCATATCCATGAAAACAATAATATGCATGGGGGTGATAAATAAATTTTGGCTGTTACCTGGGGTGGGTCTGGGATTTGGGGAAAGAGGGGGGAATGATGCAGGTGCTTCAGCTGCCCTGGTCATGTTTATTTCTTCTGCTGGGTGCTGGATCTGGGGGTCTTTCTTCTAAAATCATTTTGTGTTGCCCCCCCCACCCCAACCCGGGGTCAGGCTCCCTGCTCAGCAGGGAGTCTGCTTCTCCCTCTCCCTCTGCCCCTCCCTTCTGCTCATGCTCTCTCTCTCTCAAATAAATAAATAATCTTTTAAAAAAATAAAAATTAAATCTTTTTGTGTGGTCGATGCTGGTTAATGTAATTTGGCCACCAGACAGGGCGATCTCTCAGCTTGCTGCACTGTGAATATTTGGCCAGCTCAGGTGCACAGGGTGGTTTTGCCCTCTTGGTTGGGGCAGACTGAGTTTCTTCCACTCCGTACCTGTCTGTATTTTTAGTGGTAGTTATTTCTGTGGTGGCGATGTAACTCATGTTGCCAAGACAGGCGTGAGGGGCGTGGGCTCACTTCTTAGAACCATCATTGCTGCATGTTTAGTCTGGAGAGGAAGCAACCTGCAGATGAGAAACCCCCTTCTGATGCCTCTGAGTGCCCCAAACCTGTTCTCATAAAATCAGGTTCAAATGCAGACTCAACCCTCTTCATCTGTGACCCCCCACTCCCACCCCAGTTGCTGCTGACATTTTTCCACCCCCAGAATGCCCAATCAGAAGCTCAGGGCT